TATACATAAATGAACTAGAAAAGTTAGAAGTGGGTTGTTTCCTATGCGGATACAAAGTGATTGTTTTTGGTGATTCTTCCCGGAAAGGTGTGAAATTGAAAATAAAGAATGGTAAAAAAAATATTTTTTTTTTGACACTTTTAAACTATGTATCCCTTAATATAAATAAGTCTAAAGATATACCCTTTTCTCTGACAGGGAAAGCAGGTCCCAACTTTTCAGAAATTTATATTGACACTTTAGTAAAACTAGTGTTGGGACAGTAGACCGTCAGTTGATCACTTCTTTCATGGTATTTTGAAAGTTATTTGGGTCAATTCACTGGTCAATTGGCACAAAAAAAAATTGACCGTTCAATTCCACAACCCTAAGTATGTTATAAAATATTTGAGAGTTGATAAGAATCTTAAATGGGATCACTAAACAACAAAAAATCAGATCTATATTGCATAAATTTTACGATAATTTCTTTCTAAAAAATTGTTACCATTTATTACTAAAGCATTAGTTGGACCGTTCATACGGAATTCTATTGGGTTGTTCGGAAAGTCATTTCGTTTTTTTTGGGGAACATGAAAGACAGTTTTCGTATAATAAATAAATATTTTATTAAATTATATATTGGCCATTCTGGTCCAACACCTTTTGCCATCTTTCTGGCAGTAACATAATTCCCCTCTCATAAAAGTTTTGGTCCTTGCTGGCAAAAAACTGGTTCAGGTGGTTTTTGACATCTTCATTTGAGGTAAAGGTTTTGCCATCCAAAAAATTTTGCAGGGACCGGAACAAATAGTAGTCGGAAGGCGCCAGATCTGGAGAATATGGTGGATGTTGCAGTACGTCCCATTCAAGCTGTAAAAGTTTTTGGGGAGTGACCAAACTTGTGTGAGGTCTCGCATTATCCTGGTGGAACACTACACCCTTCCTGTTGATTAATTCGGGCCTCTTCTCTTTAAATGAATCATTCAATTTGTGCAGTTGATGACAATAGACTTCTGAATTAATCGTTGTATTGTCCGGCAAAAGCTCAAAAAAAAACGATTCCTTTGACATCCCACCAAACGGAGAGCATCACCTTTTTTTGGTGAATGTTGGCTTTTGACACGCTTTGAGCCGGTTCATCTTTTCTGCTCCATGACCTCTTGTGTTTAACATTGTTGTATACAACCCATTTTTCGTCCCCAGTAATAATCCGCTTCAAAAATGGATCATTTTCTTGACGTTTGAGGAGCGAATCACACACGTCAACGCGACGACACAAATTTCGCTCCGTAAGGACATGGGGCACCCACACATCGAGCTTCGAGGTTAAGCCCATGCCTTTCAAATGGCCATAAACAGTCGAATTCGACAAATTTAATCTCTCGTGTGGTTATTCGCCGATTTGCATCAACTAATGCCTTTATCGCATCTTTGTCAGCTTCGACCGGCCTTCCAGACCGTGGTGCATCTTCGACATCAAAATTGCCGGATCGAAATTTTGCAAACCAGTTCTGGCACTGGCGTACTGTTAACACGCCTTCTCCATACACACCCGTCAATTTTTTTCTCGCTTGGACAGCATTTTTACATTTTCTGAAGTAAAAAAGTAAAATATGATGAAAATGCTGCTTATTGCTATCCATATTTAAAAGGGCACCAACCAAAAACTACTGCGTAGAATTAATAGAACTTTTTCACACACAAGCCTTGCAATATCAGCTCTCAAGACATATAATGGTTATGCGGCTTAAGTGTGAAGTTGGTTTCGAAAAAACGTAATTAAGTCCTCTGACGGGAAAAAACGAAATGACTTTCCGAACAACCTTATAATATGGGGGAAAGTACAGTGTTCATCTTCAGCCTCGAAGAGTAATATAAAATGCTTCAGTTAAAAGTATGTTTAAAAGACCGAAATTTTACTCTACTGCTTTACTTTAGGCTATAGATATTTGCAGTGTTCATTCTTTGAAGCACTAATCAACCATAATTATGAAACTACAACTAATATTCACAGAAATGTTATAGTCCCTAACAGTAATTGAGCTATTAATCAGCAAACAATAACTTATTTACGGCGCCAAATTTTACAATCTACTTTCTGTAAATTAAAAATATGAGATATCTTCTAAAGAGGCCAAAAACTATATTCTAGAAAACTTCCAGTTAAATTCACTTTTCTGAATTTAATTAGGATTTAATGTTTATAGGTTTGTAACTTGTTAAATTAGTTTTGGTTAGTTAGTTGGATAAATTAGCTGACGCTGGGCTGGGTTTTTCTAACCGTAGGGGTCTACATCAAATAGTAATCGTAATTGCAATAATAATAATAATAATAATAATTTGATCAATAAAGTGTTTATAAACCCATTTGTAATTTCGGCGGAGGGAATTGTCTCCAAAAACTTCTCCAAAAAATTAAAAAACATCGGACTTCCACAGAACATCGTGAAGTACGGACAGAAGGCTGTCATACTACAGACATGCCACATTGTTCGTAAGTTTCTGAATTGAGTGGGAGGAATTGAACTGTTTTCCCGCCAGTTCAGAGAGCCCGCAGCAAAGCCTCGGGTGAAAACAGGCCAGTGAGAGCTGAGATGTACTCTTATAGCAATAATCATAATAATTTTAATAATAATAATAATAATAATAATAATACAAATAATAATAATAATAATAATAATAATAATAATAATAATAATAATATTGTAATAATCAAAAACATCTAATGTTGTAATCATTAATTTTACAAAAAAAAATGTATCTAGACTATAAACTTAGATTCAGAGAACATATTACTTATATGCTCAGCCGGGATTATGGTACATTAAAACTAATTTACTTCCAAATCAAACAACTTCTATGTAACTCCTTAATTCTATTGCACTTAAATCACTTCTGTTCAGACTTTGGCCCTTGTCTTGAACTCAGTGTACAAAAACTTCAATACTCATGCCTAAGATAAGAGATCTTAACCATATTTCAAATTACTCATAAATTTTGAATTGTTATGTTATATATGTTAACTTAGTTTGGCCATCTGATTCTATACTACAAATATTAAACAGTATCTGAGAAATTCCCAGAAGACTGATTTTCGTAAAAGCTTTTTGCTACGGTTATGTCATGCGAATATGTTATTTTGCTTTTCCTGTAATGCTCTTTATTATTATTAATATTATATTGGAAGTGATAATGTGGATTAACAAAATTAGACAAAATTTGTCACATTCATACCGCACGTTTAATTTACAACATATTAATGCGCTATCAATTTTATATAGTTTTTTCCAGGAAAACACTATCAATTTTTTGACACTGTAGATATATATTTTTTAATCGTGTTGTCGAAACAATTGTCATGCCATAATATATAATTTCGTGAAAATCTGTACTTTTAGTTCTTATTTATTTTGATAATGGATTTTCATCAAGTAAAAAAAAAAAAATTGAAATTAGTTTGTTCCCTTCGATTTTATTTCCATTTTGAATATATTTGACATCCTCAACAAGTTTGTTTAACACCATTTTAGTCACGTTTCGCAAAATAGCACGAATGACCTCTCAATGTGATAATTACTTGGTTAGAATATTAACATAAGGATTTCATGAGGATTTTATCCTATTTGGCTACCTAATGACACGAAAAATTGTGTCATTGTGTCCAGGCACACCTTAAATTATCTGGACGGGTGCCGTTGATGGTTGAAATATTGTCACAGTCGCTATCATTAAAATTTTACTTTATTATTTATACCTTTTAATATAAAATATGCCTGAAGTTCGACTTGATTATTGGATATTATTTTATTTTATTAATGGAAAACCCTGTATTTTATTTTCTATTTTCTATTTTTATCGAGAATAAGATTGGCTCTGCTAAAATATATACTTTTTACAATTATTTTAAACAATTACCTAAAATTTTAGCATTTTAAGTAATTAATATTTTTAACTTAGGCTAATCTATTGAAAACATTCAAGCATATACTTAGAGACATGTCAAATTTCGATTGATGGGATTTTTTTTGTTAACCTGACATTCTTTAAATTTTTCTATTTCTATTTCTAAATAAGGCCGAATCTCAAATTAACATTAAAAAATTTTTTTTTTAAGGTGAAGATTTTGATAAGTTCTGGTTAGTTTTGTTCAGTTTTATGGAATTGAGTTTGATTGAAAATTCGATATTTTAAAAAATCATTCCGTTTATTTAAAATAATAATAAGCCTGGAAAATCTACTGAAAACAATATGAATGTAAATTAAATATGCAATCCTCGAAGTAATCATTGTAACATGCTTAAATACTTTAAGATTCAATTCATCTACAAAACTTAAACATCATTAAAGATTTTAAGTAATTACACTTTAAAAAAAGATAAAAGAATTTTCATTAAAATAAAATTAACTTATAAAACACGCAATTTCAAATGAGCGAGGAACTTTTAAAATGGTCTACGTACATTTTTGTGAATGAAGAATATTGGTTCCTCGTTGAAAGTTAGGTAACTACTAAAAATTTTTTAAAAATCTTAAAATTATTCTAAAAGCGAATGTTGAAATAAATTAATTTTAATTTATTTCAACATTTTAATTAATTTTAAAATTTAAAGTTAATTAAAAAGAAAGCACCCTCGGTGTAACCACATAAATCGTTATACCCAAACGGAAAACAAAAATAAACTCTATAAAAAACGCGAAATTTTTATCTCGTTACCTTCATCGCATTCCTCTCAAACCCCTACCTGCGTCGCCGCTTTTGCCTCAATTAAAGTACAGAGCCCAGGTAGAGGAAACAAAATATGAACACCTAACCTCACTCTCCCAACCACTTTATTGTTTACCGATTTCTAATTGCAACATTTTTGAAAACGTATACTCCATTTTAAACCGTTAATGTCGTTTTCACGAAGAAATTTAACTTACGCCGTGATTTTGGATCCCTGTGAGCAGGCGTCTCTGGCGTCCCATGACCCCACGAAAATGTCAACCGCAGAAAAACGAATAAAAAGGTGACTTACCTGCACAAAATGACTCGAATAACAGTCCTGAAAAGAAACCACTTGTTTCACAAAACTTTAGATTCGAGAACGACGCGAGGACAACAAAAAAATCGCGGAAAATCAACCAAAAACAGCTTTTGAAGCAACAAACTTGTGTGGGCGATCTCAAAACAGGTGGCTGTGACTTTGCGTCGTGGCGGAGAACGCCGCAAATAGCGGCGCTTGCGTCGCGATGCCCAACACTTGTTGGGCTCTGTCAGAAAGACGCCCAACCGTGCTGTGATTTTCCAAATTTGGTTTCCATTTTTCAAAACAAAAATGCCGGCTAAATGACGTACGAGTTTCATGTACACAAAAACCACGTGTACCACGACAGCAAAAGCATGCGTTTGTTATGTAAACAACAATAGAAATTTGAAAATTTCATCTAGGATGGCATGTGTAGGAAACTATCGTTCAAAATTTTTGTCTCGACGACGGCTAACTACTCCCCAACAGATGGCGCTGTGAGAGTGGATTTTGTTTATACAACAAATTGAATTTGAATTGAATTTTGAATTGCCATAAAAATTATTAGTTTTTGAAATAGTTGTTGCTTAAATACATTACCTACAACATTTATTATTATAATTAATTCGTCTCACAGCCGGGAGATTGAATCCATCATCCAAAATTCAATTGCCCTAAAAACGTTTCTGTGCAGTCTTTATTTAAATTTGTGTTACAGCTATATAAATTTAATATAAAATGTAGATTTTAAATAACGAAAACCAGTTTCTTTTAATAAAACGTAAATATATCATAATTTACTGTTTTGGGAATGCCACTTGGTAAGGTTTTATGGCGATTGAACAGATTTACTGCCTGATTTAGAAATTAAACTCAATACTAAAAGTATGTTAAATTTTTCTTGTTTGTCGAGCACTAATCGCTTTATTTAGTTTTTTATTGCCCCCCTAAGAAATCTCTATCAAAGCAACAAAGTTAATTAAATTTACTTTATTTCCACCCAAGTACAAAAAGTGTTAGAATAATTTAAAAAATACATAAATACTTTTAATAGTTAACAAAATTTTTATATACAGCTAATGTTTCATGAAAATGCTAGGTTAGTATATAAAAAAATGCAATACCGATCCCAAAATTACTTTTTTATTGCTCATCTTTATCTTTAGCACCATGTTTCAAAATACGGGTAAATTCAATATAATCGAACATTCCGTTTTTAATTGGCGCTTCTCTGTACATTTCATCAACTTCATCGTCCGTGAAACGATCACCCATAGTTGTCAACAATTCCCTCAGTCTTTCTTCATTAATAACACCATTATTATCCTCATCAAAACAGCCGAATGCATTTTTGATTACATCTTCCGGATCAGTACCCTGGAGACGTTCACCAAATAAAGTTAAAAACATGGTAAAGTTTATTGGGCCCGGCGCTTCGTTCATCATACCATCTAAATAATCATCAGCTGGATTTTTGCCTAAAATTTATTCACTACCTAGGAAGGGACGAACACATTTTAGTCACAACTTACCTAGAGATGCCAGCATGTCATGCAAATCCTCTTTGTCAACAAAACCGTCATGGTTTTGATCAATCATATTAAAAGCCTCCTTAAACTCTGCAATTTGAGCCTGATCAAACATGGCAAATACATTGGAAGTGGCCCTTTGCGCTCTTTTCTTTGTGGTACCACGGCGGCTCACAGTTTTTCTGGAAGACATTCTGCAAAACGATCTGCAAATGACTAAAAAGTCACAGTGTTAGCTTGCAACCGTAGTGATAAGAGTAAAACAATGACAAATCGCAAAGGAATTTTAGGAACATCTTAACGATAACTACTAATTGAGCTTCCTACATTCCCCACAATAAATCGCTTAACACATCACCGTGAAAACTTACCTGTAACTAATATGAAAGAATAATTACTAGGGCAAGAATGTTTACGTTCGCAATAAATTCAATAATTCCAGTGTCTAAAACAATGCACATCGACTCACATCCAGAACAAATGACAGAATTTCTAGGAAACTTTTGGGTTTTTCTGTTGGCACATCGCCACACCTAAACGAGGCGGCCAATCACAGAACCGATCAATTCGAGCGCTCTAATTTGAAATTCGGGCATTCTAATTTTAACTGCAGTTATTGGCCTTTTCTGCATTTCCTGTCATTGTTTACGCAAATCAGGTTACCACTATACGTTAATTGACTAATCACCAATGGTAAAAAGTTGGTCATACGGAACAGTTTTAAACAGCTGTTGTTTAACATATGTCTCTTACGTTATTTACTCGGCATAACCAGGTCACTTTCAAGAATACCATAAAAGGAAATGATCGCAACAGTTGTTAATATTAGCCCACACTAATACCGATGTTTGTTGTTTTGTAGATTATTTTTCGCCATTTATAGATAAATCAGAATTTATTTCAAGAAAAACAAAATCCTGTTTTTATCCAGTGCAACTTCAGTTATCGGCGGATTCGCCGGAGTTGCCAAAATTAAACAATATTGCAGTAGATTTGGCATATTAATAGATGCAAAAAACTTAAAATTTACATATTTGAATTAAAATTATTGACGATTTTAGTAATTAAGTTTATAAGTTATAGTTCCCTTTACTTTAAGGTTTCGGGAGGTTGTGGAAATTTTGAAAATGCTTTTTTCAAAAAATATTAAAATGGTATTTATTTAAAATAGAATATCGGTGACAATTAAGCATTTTCCAAAATTTTGTATATGGTTTAGATCATGAAAGTGAGTGTAGAATTCAAAAAATTCATAGCCAATATGACCACATTTATAATTTTTGTAAACAGATTGGGTGGCTTACAATGGAGTCTCGTAACATTTCTGCACTTTTTTATTATTATTGTTATAATTATTATAATTTACAAAAATGTTTTTCAAACTAAGCTTTCCAAATATTCTCAATAACTAAATTGATTTACAATGGCAGTACCTTTTGGAATATACTTAAAGTTCGACCCCCTAGCCCACATTCTTTAAAATAAAAGGCTGTATTTGAGTCCCTGGTGCCACCTGTGGTTACGTCATCCAAATAAAGGGAAAAAAGCACTTTAGTTTTGTTTAAAACCATATTCCCAAAATTTCAAGTTGACATCCAAATTGTTACTTATTTATTACTTAGGCAAAGTTTTATTTGCTTATTCAGTAAAAATACATTATTTTATGCACAACTTTATTATAAAAATATTATATACAATGAGTCATTCTCGCGAAAAAATCACACGTGTCTAGATGCATACCTAATTACAGATTCCTACACTATACAATAATTTACAAATCTAGGTAACTTAGATAAAACGAAAGATACGGTAATGTTTTTTTGGTTCTTCGATCCGTATATTCCGAGTACTTCAGCCTATACGAATATCAAATTGAAACATATTTGTTAAAGCCTCTGCTTTTTCCTTGGTTAGAAGTACCTAACATTATATTCCATTTCTTAAGGCAGTGTCATCCAACATTTTCATTTAAACTTGCTACAAAAGGAATATCGCAGTTTTGCAGGAAGGGTCACCATTAAGTGCAAGAAATTTAAATTTTTTCTATTTTCTATTGAAATTTTTGATTAAATAAATGATGATTTTTGAAAACAATTGTTTTTTATACCGTGGACGGCAAAGAATCAAACTTTTTAATGTATTTTTTTGCCGAGGGTCCAAAAACTTAAAGAAGCATTAAATTTATGACATCTCTATTTTTTTTAGTTATCTGTTTTAGGCAAACAAAGAAGGAAAAAATTATATTATAATTAGAACCAGTTTTAACCAGTGGTATAAACTGAACCATTATTTTTGATTTCCAAAGCCGTCTTGATACCCCAGTGTTATTAAATTTCCCATTTTTTCGTATATTATCACAGAATATTATCTTCGCTCTGCGTGCGCTTGATTTTAAAAAGAATTTCGTTGTTGTTTAGGTCCTCCTTCGTTCATAAGATAATTTTAAAACGACAAACTTAATTTAAATAGACAGTCAAACGTCTAACCGTCTAATTCAGTCGCGTCAAATTGGTTGAAAGTCTTTGTCACGGTCGAGTGCCGATCCTACCGACTGTGCCCACTATCGAACAGAAACGCCGTTAACCGTCACAGCGCTGCCGTTCCTTCCGATCGGTTCGGGTTCGTAAGTCCCGCTATCGCTTTCATAAGGCGCGTCATACAAATTTTCCTCGTGGATGTTTTCGTAGATGTTGGTCTGTCCGTAACCGTTCCGATCGCTGAGCGTTGCGTAGCTCATGACAGCCGCGTTGCGATCTTCTTTTCTCTCGGCTCCTTCCACGTTCTCGGTGTTCTTGACGGCCACCGGTTTCCTCCTACAATTATAAATATAAATAGCATGGCAGTTACTCCAAATCTAATTTTATAAATAACGTTGTCTCAGTTATCTCGGGAGTCAGATCCAGTGCTGCCAACTGGCCAACAACACTCCCAATTGTTAATCAACTTTTTAATTTATGTATAGAAAACTGTATGTTTCCTCCTCAGTGGAAGATTGCAGATATTATACCGTTTTCAGATATTATAACGGTAATATGCCAGAAATCTCCAAAGTGAAACTGACGAGGAAGAATGATACTTTCCGCGCGATGCATTGGTGTGTAACTAGGTGTTTTACAGAAGGGAGTAGAAAAAAGTATTTTATGGGTAATGCATTGAGTTTTTGCTAATTAATTTACAAATATCTACAACCGTTGTTGTAGGAAGTTCAAAATTTTATTTTTAAATTCAATTTTAACAATTGTTTCATCATCTAAGGGGCTTACCAATAGACCTACATCAAAGATTCTTCATTGAAGGTCGAAAAGTAGGTATCAAAAAGCTCTTAATAGACCCGATTGTTGAGCTTTTTTAGAATATTAAATAACACGCCTAGTGAAGAAGGTGGTGTTTGGAATACGTTTTATTATTATGACATTTTTTGTTACTTTTAATGAATATTGACAACCAAATGAGGAAAAACTCACATTAATTGCAGTTAACTCTTAACTAACTGCTGCTAACTGTTGGGCAACCGTAACTGTACTCTTTTCTAATAATTCCGACTCTATGTCACAGATTGAAGAAATACTGAACAGAATCATCTGCTTACTAATTTATTTTCCTTTATTGTCGAAAAAGATGATACAGAATTACACAAACAACATCGAAAACGCGGATTAAAATAATTGAAGCTATTAAAGAATAGCAAAGTACTTCATGGGTTATTCTAGCCATTTAAAAAAGTGCAGCTATGAGCTGGAAGTTCTGTTGAGTCTTTCGATTATTTTTTTACGACTTAGGGTTTAATCTAGTCGAAATCCCAAAAACTAGACATTACACTACATTAACCTTTAATTTTTGACCAGTTCATACTTCAGTTTTATCAGAAATCAGCCTTGAGTTATGCATTTCACACCATTAAGCTCAGTTATACGAAAATAGGTACAAACTTTAATGTGAAATTGCAGAAAATAACTCCCACTTCAATTCCGAGTGACTCAGGAAAGTGACTCAGGAAACTATTTTTTACTTTACTTCAGTCACATAGAATCTTGTAATTTGTTGAAGGAAAATTTAATAGCTTGCACTTTTATATTAAGAACTGCCTTTCAAAAAAAACATTGCTGTTAAGATTAGGGTTGCTTCATACTCACAATTTAAGATATATCACTCCCAGCAGTACCAGCAAGAACACCACAACTCCCGCTCCGATTCCAATGTGTGTGCCCAAATTGGACTCTTGTTGGGGTTCTTCCGCGGCAGCTGCAAACAGAACCATAGAAAAATTATAGAATGAAAAAGTATAGTACGGCCTCCGACCCACCTTCACATCTCGGCTGATCTCCCGACCATTGGCCGTTATCCATACATTTTCTGAGGTACGGACCGATCCTTTCGAAACCCGGAACGCAATGGTACTCGATGGCGCTGTTGTACGTGGTGCCGTTCATTACTATAACTCGCCCGTTGTCGGTGGTACCGGGATGACCGCAGTCAACAGCTAAAAGTGGGAACATTGATCAAGCGAACAGGAGAATTCCTTCTGCGCATGCTTACGCAAGCACGACGGCGCTGTTCCCGACCACAGGCCTTTCTTTAAGCATATTCTCGAGTTGTTGCCCTGCATGGTGTGCCCTCTGGGGCAATAATACTGGGCCACCCCTCCGACGCTGTGAGTGCTGACTTTGACTGAGACCGCGGCGAATGAGTCGGGCTCTTTACATTGAATTTCTAAAAAATCGAAATTAGATAGAATAGTTTTATTATAAATTATTTTAACACGAGTGATATCGGATATACAGGATGACGTAAAATATCTCTCTTATTTAGCAATTTATTATTCAACCTTATATAACAAGGGTTAGAAATTTAAATTTAACAACGGATACGCATTTAAATCCAATTTGTCATTGCGTAATATATTCGTAAAAATTGTTAATCTTCGTAGCCCGCTAAAAAGCCATTCATTTCATTCCTTTCGAATCATGAATTTTACAATAGATTTATCAATTTTACTAATAATACATTCTTTCAGAAACAGTCCGAATTGTAACATCAATAAGGAGTTAAATTGTTTAGGGGTTGATTGCGAACTTGGTATTAACGGTCATAACGACAATATCGTAAACAAACATGTTAATGTTAATAAAGTTTCAACTAACAACTAGCAGTAAATTGCAGTATCTTTCTTATATGTCTATGGTAAAATCAATTAAAAATAAAAAAGTAAATAGTATTTACAAGGGCAGAAAAAGGAAAAACAGTCATTGCTATCGAATCTCTAGAACATATTACACAAACCAAACAGTTTCTTGAACCAGACAAATACCAAAGTATACAATATGATCCTACCGAGTTATTTCAAAAACAAATCAAAACACTTTTTAATGAGAGCGAAAAATACCAAGAAATAATCATGAATCCTCAACCTCCAAAATTATATTCTTTAATGAAATTACTTAAAGAGGATATGCCAATAAGGCCTATAGCTTCATTGGTAAAAACACCAAAATTTCCAACAAAATTAATAAAAAATTTAGAATCATATTGCCTTTAAATCTTGCCATGTTATCAAAAATTCGTTCGAACCAATTGACAAGGTTAAAGATATTAAAATTTCTTCTAAGGCAATTCAAGTTTCATTTGACGTAAAAAATCCATTTTCCATCATTCCGCCAGTTGACGTAATAAACATAATAGACAATATTCTCACTCAAAGACAAGTAAACCCTATCATAAAACAAGATTTGTTAGATAGTTTAATAGTTTAGACCAAAATTATTTTGAATTAAATAGTGAATTTTATATTGCTAAAGAAGGATTAATTACAGGAAACCCACTTAGTCCAATACATGCAGAAATTTTCATGGACAATTTAGAAAATATCATACATAAACGTCCTCTGCCATAATAACTCAAATCACCCTTCACACACAAAATGGCTGACTTTTATGCTTTTATCCACAGACTACTCAATATAACACGTTCCACAGAAATTTTTGAAAAAGCATTAAATATTATAAAACAAATAGGTCTTAACAATGGTCACGATCTCTCTTTCATAGATAAGATTATAACCAAAAAGCAGTTTCAAATAACTCTGAACTCTGTTTATCTCATATCATATAAAGTAGCAAGAAAATTTCAAAACATCAATCTAAATTTGGTTTTGAGGTTGTTTTTAAAACTGAATTACAAAAAATTCAAAAATCCGGAGTCTACAAGTTGAAATGTGTCCAAATTTGTATCGGACAGGTAGAACATTTAAGAAACGCATTAACGAACATAAAAGGGCAAAAAAAGCAAAAAAAAATTGTTGTACATTAAATAAAAGAAATAAGAAAAACAAAAAACGGCAGTAAAAAAATGGAAATATTTCATTTCTCCATGTTTCCTGGTCCGGACTTAGATTGACGTTACATTTTTTCGTTTTAAGTAATGTACTTGAATTCATTCATGACTCTTTATTTCTACGCAGATGCAATTAAGATGCGAACTAATTCGATATTTCAAAGAAAATATATTCATTCGACCCACATCAGCGGTACCGACCAATCAATCGGTAAATTAAAACTAGACCCAAATAGACGTTATTAAAGCATTTGACGAATATGAATGTATGGATGTAGGGTAATAAATGAATGTTTTGACTACAAGATTGAATTTCGCTATAATAGATTTCCTTAAACATTGTAAAATTGCAAAACGGTTTACATTTCAGGAGTGGGATAAAATAGTTCATATTTATTAGACGCATCTCTTAAAAAAATGGTAGTATATGTGTGTGATTTTGTTGGTTCAAATTACTATTCTTTTGGAACAGTGATATGGACGAAGTATATAAATTATTGCACTCTTAGCATTAAAATGAATATCTACTACATCTATAAATAAACATAATTAATAAACATATTAACATTTTTGCGGGATGATACTTTAAAAACAAAAATAGGTGCGTGTCTAACGCAATAGATTGCAACTTTTTTATGACACGTAATTTCCCTAGTAATTCGCGTTCTTGATTTCGATCGTATATTTTGTATTTGATAATTTCTAATTCTATATTAACTTTTGGCGTAAAACTGATTGCGGCCCTTAGAATACGAGATCAGGTCACAAAGTAATTACAATCCTACAAAAATATTACTGCCGCTAAAAATTTCCATCTCTAAATATAGACACCTCGCAAAAAGAATTGAATTGGAATAGGATAGCCTAGCCCATGCTATGCATTATCTTGCATGATAATGAAGGTGTCTCCTATAAATGGTTGGAACGACATTATTTTTAGAACATCCCAAATGTTCTCTATTTTATATCTAAGTGTGGGCTGCTGATAGCCACTCCACTGGACACTGATGCCATTTAAGCAATCCAATATACCGGCTGATCTAAATTAAATTAAATTGATCACTTTGTTATGAGTAGAGATACGAAGTCCGTTATGTTAGCAAACTGATTACGATTTTGAAAGCAGAAAAACAATTGAATACAGGGTTTGGGAGAAAATGAGGAAAATGTATGCTTTTTAAATGGAACGCTCTTGATATTTTTTAGTGTAATGTTCACCAACAGACTCACTGCATCCCAAATAGCATTATGTCGCACTTTTGTTTATGTGTAAAAACTATGTATGGAATCTTTCGAAATAATAAAACCGTTTTTGCTAAACGAACGAGACCAAAAAATATTGCATATGACCTTTTTTATTGTGCTGATGATTTGCCAACGTTAGAAAAAATTAATTTTAAATTATTATGCCTTGCACTGGCTTGTGTGAAAATGAAAGCGTCTCCGTATAATTCTTCAATATTCTGAGAACGGTACTGAATACTACTTAAATGCAAATTTGAGAGTACTTTGTATCTCAAAAAAGAAATATCTTTAATGTTACTGCGAATTTCTATATCTAAAGATAATAAAGATATTCCGCATAGGGCAACGGATAATAATATAAATCAGAATAAAATCATCTGGTCGTAAAAAATATGCACGGTTTGAATATAAAAGTTGATTTTGCACAAATTACAATAATTTAAACATGGAGAAAGATGTTGAATTGAAAACTACTGTGAATGAACGAGAATCCGAAATTTGTGTGCAATCTCAGTTGACAACGATTTTACGCGTTTTAAAATTATGAATATCTTTAAAAATACGTGCAACTTTTAAATTTATCTTTTCCCCAATTAATATTTTCAGCATTTTTGGTAAACAAATCTTCTTATTTTTATGTATAGTGTCACCTAGTACTCTTTGGCGGATAAGCTGTCACCGACCGTGATAAGCGGGGATTCGATTTTATCAGTTTTAAACTCACCTCTACACGCGGGCGTATCCGAACTCCAAGTGCCATTTTCCAGGCACAACCTTCTCGAGACGCCGTCCAATTCAAAATTGGGATCGCAGGAGTAGAGCGCCAAAGCTCCGTAATACGTAGCGTTAGATGGCAAGGTGACGACACCGTTTGATACTTTCTCAGGATTCCTGCAGTCGACGTCTGTAATTAATTAACAAAAAACGGGATTATCAGAAGGTTCGAGATCTCTTGAGTCCAAATTACCAATACAAACCCATTGTGCAAAAAATATCATTTTTTGAAACTATTAATTACAATAAAATGAAAATAACTTTCTTCAGGGGTGGAGCTATCTATGTTTGTAAGAGAAATATTACTAGCAGAAATATGTAATAGCGAGCGGCAAACCACAGAAAGAAGGGTGTACAACTGCAAATACTTATAATTCCACCGAATAAAAAGTGAAAAAAACACTATGTATATATATATATATATATATATATATATATATATATATATATATATATATATATATATATATATATATATATATATATATATATATATATATATATATCATCAATATAATATATATAATAATAAAATATAAGTAAACAAAATCTTTTAGAAACCTATTTAAAACTAGCACATGTTTGTTTCATGGTGGTCACATTGATCACAAATATAACAAACATAACTGCTTAGATATTCCAGCGATATTTTGTTCAAGACTTTAGTAAAACTAGTTTACGACAAATGGACATTATTGAATAATAATGTTCATTTTCTCGTACAAATGAAAGCAATTCCGAGCACTAATATTTTCGAATAGAAGTAGAAATTAAAATAGAATTAAATTAAAATTGTGTACTTTTAATGCATCTGTCTCCGCGCTAAATATCTCAAGCCGTTTCGCAAATATCAATAAATTTCCATAACAGTTTTGGTCATATTATAAGCCAAAATCTCGGTTACTTTTTATGGTCTATTTCTCTTGAATGTGTAATACCGGCCGATAGCGGCCAAATTACATACGAGCAGACTGTTTCCTAATTAAGAGAATAGAGTCAGTGTCCAGAAATGTGATAAATATTCTGTTAGAAAACATACACTACTTAAACCATTAAAAAAAATTAGTTAGGTTTTTGCTTAAAAAACGAAAACAAATGGTTTCGATTAAAAAACGAAAACAAATGGTTTCGAAACTGATTTTTATTACAAGCGAAACTATTAGTCAGTAGCAGTCCATAATAAATTTAGTCCCGAATCATTCCGTGAAAATATCATATTTTTGAGGAACGCCACTGGTAATAACAATAATTATCGTACAGTTAAAATTGAATTACAGCTGTATATAAAAATTTAGAATAGACCATCTGTATATATCTATTAGAATTAAAACATCTACGGTGGGATTCAGAAATGGCCTAGTCACATAAGCATTATTTAGAATTCAAGTATTGATCCACAGAGCTCGAAACTTTTGAAAAGCCATTTGACAAAGTCCGATATAAAAAGCTCATCAGGAATAAAAGATACAGACATAAGTATGATTGCCAACTTATATAGTCAACATCTACTTCAATGAAGCTGTGACTAAATGTAAAGATGGAATACTGATTAACGGAGAGAGGTTAAATAATCTCAGATATGCGGATGATACAGTCCTGATATAAAACAGCGCAGGATCGTAAATATGTGCGAAGAATATTACCAAAAATCCAAACACCAAAACAATCTTCAAGTAAAAAAACACTAAGCTCGAAAAAGTAGAAACATTTCCGTATCTTGGTTGTAGATTGAGCGAAAGATGGGATCATTCTCGGGAAATTATTAGTCGAATAGAAAAAGCACGCTCAGCATTCAACCGCTTCAAAAATATTCTCTGTAACTAAACCTTAATTTCTAAATTCATGTTCGCTGTAATGTCCTTTAGTTCTGAGATGTTTTGAGGAATGACCAACTTATGACACAGGGAAAACAAGATTGCTTCCGAAAAATCGTCTCTGTTCGGGGCAAGTTCTTAGCGAATCAACGAATCAGCTTTGTATTTTGAAAAGAAACTGCTTCGCAGTCTTGTCCTAGAGAGAGACATCGGGCTTCTACGGACCAGTATGGAACTTTCGCAAAATCGATGTAATTTTATTGTGTATGCTTCCTGTATAAAGTGACTTTCACATCTCGCCGAACTTCAAAGTGGCGGTCAACTTTGATAAAAGTAATAGTTTACACAAATAATAGCGATTTCAAATGATATTTGTTCAAATATCTCGCGCACCCTGTATAATAGACGAAACTTGAAACTCTCTCTCAAATCCTGTATGATAGACGAAACCTGAAACTCTCCCTCTTCAAAATTTATGATACTGTTTGGATCAATTTTTTACAAATTTTATAGTCTCTCATTAATGGCTAATAATTTACAAACGAAAACGGCAATTTTCAGGGTCTTTTAGATATTTTTACCCATAATCGACACACCCTGTACATAATTCAAAAAATTCAGAAAATGAAGATTATAGCCCTTGCTCTCTCACGTTCCCTGGTTCAAAAATTTTTCCAAAATAGTAAATGGTTTTTTCTGAAACCATGCAATGCGCCGTAATAATCAATGACGTCATCGCGTCTTGACTGAACTCAAGGTATAGTGATTTTCATATGGATTTTTTCAAATATCTAGAGCAGCGGATGTAATAGACGAAAACCGTGAATACAAAAATTGTAGCTCTTGATGCGGCCTATGACACTGTTTAAACAGATGGCTATATTTTTTACGATTTTTGATTCGAGATTAATAATTTACTCGGGAAAAGAACAATTTTCTTGGTCTTTTAGATTTTTGTCTATAATTCGAAAACCCTGTATATAATCGAAAAATGTCTGATATAAGTGTTATAGCCCTGAATCTTCCGCGTCTCCAGGTTAGAAAATTTTGACGATCCGGTGAATGGTTAGGGAGAAAAGCTTTTTTTTTGGAAGCCAAAATAACAAAAAAAATAAAATTTGAAAAAATATATTTGGTGAAAGTTGATAGCACCCAATTTCTGCTGTTTAAATGTGGGCATGAACTTTTACTTCTCTGCTAAATTTGAAGTCGATATCTGCAAATTTAGGACACTTGACTCATTTCTTTTATAGCACGGTATATCTGAAATACCCTTTACAATAGGTGAAAACCTTAAATAGAGAAATTTTATTTGTCTATACGGGCTATATCGTCGTATAAAAGACATCTGAAACACAGTATTTTAGTTAAAGCCAATTTTCGCTAACGGTTTTCGAGAAATGATTTTTTGTTAGACCTTTGCAAACGCGATTTTTGATTTTTTTAAAATACTTCCCGACCCCAACCCCCTCAATTTCCGTTAGGGGACCAATCGCTATTCGCCTGCCAAATTTGAAGTCGATAGCTTCAATTTTCGGACACTTTTCATGTTTCATAGCAATGTTCAGAAAACAGTCGAAAAAAAAAAAAAAAGATGGACGCCGAAGCTTGACCGCAGCCACTTTTACACATCTTATGCACCCCGCGTACGTTAAAAAAGGAAGAAAATTTGAAGCGTGTAGCTCAAACCATTCGGAAGTTATCGTCGAAAAACCCTGGAATATAATCGGCACTAAACGAAAAAGAAGGTATTACATGCAATATTAAAGAATGGCAATTGATTCACCATTCATAATTACTTGATTATGTTGGTTGCAGACTTCTAGGAGTGTCGTGAGTATAATCCACTTGATATTAAATTATAATTTTTTCTATTTTTTTTATGTTATGTCTCCATTAGGTTTTTTTTTTCTTTCTGCGAATTTGTTTTATTAGTTACTACGTATTGTAAATAGTAACGAATAGTAATAGACACGAATTTGCGGACAAGGAAAAAAATAACTTACAGACACACTGGGGCACGGCCCCGCTCCACGAGCCGTTATCTTCGCAAGTGCTCAGGGGTTCGCCAATCACCTTGTAACCCCTCTCGCAACGGTATTTGGCTAGGGCGCCGATTTTGTAGGACGTCGCCCCGACGTTCGAAGTTTCCGCCGTCCTGATCAGTGTTCTACCATACATCCTATCGTTCCCTGTGACGGAAAGAATGCTGTGCTCGGCCAAGATCGGTTCGGGACATCTTATTTCTGAAATAATGAATCAATATAAATTAATATTCATTAAATACATTCAATAAATGAATACGTTTTTTTTGTTTTTTTAACATTTCCTTATAATTTTTGTTTCATATTTTTATTTTATTTCTTTTTTCTTTCCGTTGTTGTTTCTTTTATAATTAAGAGATTCTTGTAATTAAAGTTAAGTTGTATGTCTTTATAAGCAGCAAAGAATAATAAACATAAATATTTATAATAAAATCGTTAAAAATAATTAAATACTGCAATAAAAAGGTCGGTCCACAGTTAATCTCGCAGATCATTTTTTTATTAGGGGAAAAATCTATAAAAGAGATTTTTTTTTGATTATTTAGTCATTTTTCAAAAGTTGACTTATTAAGGAAGATAACGATAACAATTAAAAAGGTCTGGCCAGTGACAAGAAAATTAAAATTTATAATTTAATAAGCTTCTTCAACCAATAACGTGGTTCTAATGGGTTGAAAATAGTTTTTTCTAGTGTTTTTGATATAATTATCTAAAAACATAATTCAGCAATTAAAGTAAACATACGTTATTCCTAGCATTTTTTTTCTGATTGAGCAATTGGAAAACCACTAATGGGCTAATTGAAAATCATTTCAGATATAAAGAATGCCGAATTTTAGAAGATCAATCGACATTCGATATTGCCCGTTTTTCGGCTAACTCTTTAGACATCGCCATTAATCAGCAAGCGAGGACAGGTGCCCAAACACAAATCTGATAAGTTGTAAATGTAAATACAAAAAAAAATGAAGCAAATGTGCTCTGAAAAAACATGGTTTTGAAGCGTTCCGAATTTTTGTATAACGAAAGTATTTTTCTACTATTTTTTTTACAAAATATTACCCTATCTCATCTTGTTTGACCCGCTATGTATAGGTACTCTTGTAACGTCCTAAATAGAGACCTGAAACTTTGGAAAAAGTTCGACAATATATTAACTAAAGATCTAAAGCCCCTTAAATTTACACTCTTGTTAATGACAATCTTTACAAACGTACCTTCGCATTTAGGGGCGTAGTCGCTCCATTGCCCATTTTCCATGCAGTACCTCCTCGATATACCGTTGATTCGGTAGTTCTTGGTACAGGCGTAGACAATTTCGCTCCCCAGATAGGTGGTGCCGTTGGTATACTTGACTTCGCCGTACAACATCGGGGGAACTTTCCCGCAGTCGATGTCTGCAAAACCACCATGCAAAAATCCACGCGAGTTAAATTTTACCGACCTCACATTCGCATGTGGGCGTGGCCCCGGACCACTCTCCGTTTCGTTGACACACGTGGGACGCCTCGCCCCTTAAAATGTGACCCACCTCGCAGTGGTATTCTATCGCGGAGTGCACGTTGAAGTCGATACCCACCACGTAGCTGCCTCCAGGAACGTCCGGCTCATCGCACGTTATCACTATCGAATATGCAATGTTGCCAACTGATTAACTAGCTGAATTGACCACTTACGTTCGCAGAATGGTGCGTCCCCCGACCATTTCCCTTCCCTCGTACATTTCTGAACTTGCTGGCCGTCCAGCCAATAATCCCCATCGCAAGAGTACTCGACGATACTCTCCACTGTGGTGGTACCGTTCCTCAACTCGTACCTGCCGAAGTCTATGTTCGGAGGTGCTCCACAATCGACGTATTTACACGTGGGCGCTTTTCCCGACCATTCGCCGCCCAGACCGCAAGAGAGCACCTGCAATGCATCACGTGATACCAATCTACCTCCACTGACGTTGAGATTTATTTACCCCTTCCCCGTTGATGACGTATCCCGGCTGACAGCTGTAGGTCGCGATATCACCGGCCCTGCGACCGGAAATCTTGAAAACGCCACCGTGGATCGCGGGTGGGTCGGGACACCAGTCGAACAAGCACTGAGGAGATGAATTCGTCCACTTGCCGTCGTCGCCGCAGATTCTGATCTCGTGGCCTATTAAAGTGTAGTTTTCGTGGCAACTGTAGATTGCTCTAGCGCCGTGGGTAGACCTTTGGTCTTTCAAGGTGACGGTGCCGTGGTCCAAGTCTGATAACGACCCGCAGTCCACGACTACAAAGGAAATTGTTAAAGCGGGATTGAGTTTTGAGTGGACTTGGGTTTTACATTTGCAAGTTGGTGCTGTCCCGGTCCAGAATCCATTTTTGCCGCAATTCCGCTTGCCGTCGCCGATCAACATGTGGCCTTCGGGGCATTGGTACTTGATCGTCGACCCCAAGCTGTAGTCGACTCCGACGATGGTAGTGTTGATCAATTTGTCTGGACTGCCGCACGTGGGTGGTACTGAAAAAGAGCATCGCTACAATATTAGGCATGACTTTGTAGTCCCGTTGGGTATTTAACTATACCATGGTGATTAAGGAAAATAGAAAACATATTCTGAATTGAATGTAATAAGATAGATTATTTATAAAATGTAAAATTTATGCAGGTAAGCAGATAAATTCAAACATATTTTCTGAATAAATTGTCTACAAGAAACGAGGAAGGGTATTAGGAATAGTCTGCCACCATCTTGATTTTTGAAACCCGTTTTCTCCCTAATATTCTTATTTTAACATTTAACCCTAGGCTGTCAGCTATTGCGATTACTTGCCTTATCGCAAAAAAAGATATTAAGAAAAAAAAACTACAATGACACGACCTCTTTAAGAGAATCGCTTGTGGTGATCTCCTTGAACCCACAAAAGTTTGTTCCAATATATCCTTCAAAAGATTTCCTTTCGATCGTGATCAAGAGTGATATAAAAATCCACTTGAAATGCTAACGTTGGTGGTTTGAACTTTGCGAGGAAACGGAACCCCACCCTCTTTAACCGACATTGCACTTATCTGAATTAAATTAAAATTCATTAAGGTTATAGTCGACATAGCGAATTAATTAATTAATTTTCGTATCTGTTACGTAAACTGACTTGATCTAGGTAGATACTGCTTCTTGATACAATGGGCCTGCGCAGAACAATACGCGTTTATTACCACTATCACTTATTTATACCCTTATTAACATATCTTATTAGCATACCTCGTTGCATCATATAGTTAGACGGAAACTTTATTCGTTTTTTATTGTTATTTATGAAACCTTAGACAGATATTATCTAACGCGATTTTGAATAAGTAGAAGACAAAAACAATGTGAGCTGACCTTCGCGAGAAAACTTAGAGCGAGTTAAGCGCAAGGCTGTTATATGCTGCTATCACAGCTAAACTTAACACCCATCTCAAGCACTTCTTATTTGTAAAATTCTGACTCTCTCTCTCCCCCCCCCCCCCCTCTCTCCCGCCGTGGAGAGAAGTCAGCTATGGAATTGTCATTTTTGCTGATTTTAATTTTAAATGCTGCATTAGATATTGCTGATAATTACGACATTAGAAATTTTTTAAAAAATATTTCCCTTAAAAGAAATAAGTTGCCTTCTTCCTAATTATGCAATGCAACGTTACTTTACGTTGAGTTCATTAAACCAGTAATTACATTAAAAAAATTGAAATATTTCATTTTTAATTTAGGTTTTGTTATTAAAAAGGATAGAGAACGGAAAATTGGTAGAAAGAAAATTGGTTTGGCTAGCTGAAATACACTAAACATTATCTATAATAATAGTGGTAATAAGATAAGACGTTAATAAGAATAATAAAAATTTATTTGTAATAATACATAAAACAGACATTTTCTGTATACAATTAATTTGTCTAATTTTGTCTAATTGTTAACAAAGTTTAAACAGCTGTTAATTATTGTTGTTTTTGAATATAATGCCCAAACAAACAATTTTGGAAAATGTTGACATACATGCCAAAAAGGCAGCTTCTAAGAGTACAAATATGTTTAGTTTTTCATTGTTAATATATTAAAGGAACTTACGAAACATCTCATCATCTCATTGGTTTTAGTTACTTTGGTAAGATTATACCTTTTTTATTTAAAATACGACACATTTTCCTAGAATCCGGAATGGAAGGTCAGTCAGCAATTTTGATTGAGTTATTAAGTGAATTAAAATTTAAATGTAACCCTAAGCCATAATTAGATTTACGCAAATATCATTACTGCGGGTTATATGTGTCTTTTCTTTATTAGTAAATTTTAGTATCAAAATCTCTTTTATGTGAGTCGCTTGAAAAAATCAAAATAAATTTTGATTTCTGGAAGTGCGATAGCAATTAGTAATAATTAAAAAGTTAATAAAGCAACACTATTCAGAACTGCCAAACTGCCAAATTTGGCCCTTACAAGAAAAATTACACTTGATGATGGTTTGAAAATTAAAACGAAGACGGCAATTTCAGTTTATTCGCCATTTGAGAAATTAGCAATAATAACTTCTCTACATTTACTATTTACAATATACATAAATGACCTTTATCATTTCATGGCCCCAAATCAGTGCGTGATGTTTGCCGACGATACAACCTTCACTACATCTGCTAAGAGTATCGAGGAGTTGTCCGTTAGGGTTGGCATGTTGGAGGACAGGGCTAATGTCTGGTTCGAAAATAATTATCTTAAATTAAATTTAGACAAGACCCAGAGTATTGTGTTTTCCTCCAATTGCTTGGTAAATAGTGGACAGTCCGTCAAGTTGCTTGGCATTAGGATCGATGATAGTCTAAATTGGAAACAACATATCTCAGACCTGAAAAATAGATTGCCCAGCAACATATTCGTTCTTCGACGACTGAGAGGCCTGATAGGAACAAAGACTCTGCTTATGGTCTATTTTTCTTTGTTGCATTCACACTTACGCTATGGTACGGTACTGTGGGGTGATTCCTCAGCTGCTGTGGAGATTTTTAGAATGCAAAAAAGGGCCATTCGAGTCGTTGCTAATATAGGATATAGGGACCATTGTCAACCTTATTTTAAAAAATTCAAAGTCATGCCCCTTCCTTGCATTTATATCTACTACCAGTTATTGGAGATACAGAGAACGAAAGGAAACTTTAGCGCTAATTCCGATTGCCATGCCTATTCAACTCGTTCGGGGGATCTCCTTAGACGGCCTAGGTTTAGACTGAGGAAGTCTGAGAACAACTCTTGAACCTGAAATTGTATAATGTTTTGCCAGGTACCGTGAAAAAGATGAGCAATAGAAAATTTAAACATACTATTAAAGAATTTCTACAACGTCATTGTTTTTACTCCCTGCGAGCATACATTGACACTGTCACTGGTATCGATGCGCTATAAAACTGTATAGTACTGTCTAATTTTGTTTGTATTAGATGTGTGTCTTATGTTATTTATTTATTAATTTGATTTTATTGCACTTGAATACACTTCTGACTTGCTACAATTGTACGTCCCTTTTGTACGAAACGTAGTCTATCTATCTACATAGCTACATAGCACTCGAAGTGCGACAAAAGTGCTCCGGTTTTTTAAAGGAAAGAAGATAATTAGTACATGGCAACGGGAAAATCCTCGACAAATACGACAACAGCGTGCCATTTCTCGCTCTCTTCTTTGATTGAGATAGTCTTCGCATACTTTGTAGCACTGAACGTAAAATCTAAGTTGCTATACATGTTCTCGTTATCTACATACATATAAACAAATGCAGCTGGTTCTAGACTGGGTCATTATTAAAATAACTTGCGAAATCGCGTTCAATAATTAGAAATATGAAAATCGCCGGACCGAAAACGGACTAAACCAATTTCAAATTTATTTCGTTTTCTTTAGAGAAATAAAAAATAGATCGGCCGAGACCGAATGTGAAACGGCGTTGCCCAACGAAACGGCAGCCGTTGCAATTAAATCGCTTGAACGTGCCGAACAAAAGTAAAAGTAAAAATCTAGTGTTGAATTTATAACCTTAACGCCGGGTACCCACTGTTTTGCAGTCGAAAAATACTAACAAAGGGAAAGTATATAGGTAGATTGCCACGTTCGTCGTGTTTTAAAGTTTACGTGGGTCGCGTAATCGACATACCTGCTTGAATTATTAGAAAAAAGAAATTAAAAGGGTTTTAGCGCCACAGTGCAATGAAATTATATTCGGTGTAGACCAAACAAGATTGATTTCGAGAAATCGTGGCAGTGCGAGTCGTCTGCTTCGTACTATGCGCTACGCAGTCTACAACAAAGTCACTAAGCAGCTTTGTATTTTTAAGGCTTTGTGCCCTAGAGGGAAGCATTGTTTTTCTATCGTGCTCCTGCGGGCCACTATGGAACTTTCGCAAAATCGACGTCACTTTATTGTGCATGCACTCTGTATAAAGTGTTTTTCACGTCTCGCCGAACTTCAAAATTACGGCAAATTTTAAAATTTTTACAAATAATAGCGATTTCCAATGATATTTTTCCAAATATTTCGCGAACCCTGTATGATAAATGAAACCTGAAACTCTCTCTCAACACCGTTTACGATATACCGTTCAAATAAAATTATCCCATCTTTAACGGGTTTTCATTTATTGCCAATAATTTACCCACAAAAATGGGCATTTTTAGGATCTTTTAGATTTTTTGCCCATAAACGACACACCCCGTATATAATTCAAACAATGTTCGAAATAGAGGTAATAGCCCTGGATCTTTCATTTCTCCTGGTATATGAATTTTTCCAATAGAGCAAATGGTTTTGCAAAAATACTGAAACCATGGAGTAGAAATGGTGATATCTCGAACAGTGTATCTGATAGACGAATCCCGTAAATACAAAAATTGTGGCTTTTGATGCACTGTACAATATCATTTAAACCAATTGGCCATATTTTTGAGAATTTTGATTTACGGCTAATAATTTATTCTAAAAAAGAACAATTTTCAGGGTCTTTTAGATTTTTGTCTGTATTTGAAAAACCCTGTACATAATCGAAAAAATGCTTGAAATAGAAGATATAGTACCAAATCTTCTGCGTCTCCTGGTAAAATAATTTTGCCGATCAAGTTAATAGTTCTCTAGAAATATTGTTTTTTTCTGGAAGAAAAAATAACAAAAACAAAAATTTCAAAAATAAAAACAAATCTGGGCAAGTCTTGATTGCTCCCAGTTTTTACGGATTAGTTGTGGGTGTGAACTCTAACTTCTCTGCTAAATTTGAAGTCGATAGTTACAAACTTGAGACATTTATTATATTTTTGAATATGGTAAAGAATATCCCGAACACTCTGTACAATATGTGAAAACCTAAAATCCAATAGTTTTAGCTGTCCACACGGACTATATGGTCGCGTGAAAAAAAATGGCAGCTGCAACACAGTCTTCTAGTAAATGTCAATTATCCTATTAAATAATAAATCTCGCGCGTCTTCTGGTTCAAGAATTTTTTGCGGTTTTTAAAAATATTTACCGACCAACCCCCTCCCCAGGGCCCGCCCGCCAGCAACACCCAATTTCAATAGGTTCCGTTAGAGGACTAAACTCTATATTTGTGCCAATTTTGAAAAAGATAACTGCAAATCTCGGACTCTTATCGTGTTTCATAGCGATGTACGAAAAACAGAGGAAAATCAAAAAAAAAAGACAGCGATTTCCTATGGGCTTATGTGCCTCGTGCCCAGTTTAAAAGGAGCACACCTTCAGCTTCCTCACTCAAACCATTCGGAGGTTATTTGCGTTTTTATGGAGCGTCGACAGAGAACAGAGAACGAAGAACGGAGGAACAGACAAAAAATGAAAACGTTTTTTTTTCGCTGATTCCATCGGTACCAACGGCGACGCTGTACGACGCTCCGTTGCCGAGATATAGGTTTCGTTGTCAAGCGCGTATACGCCATTTTTCCAAAGTAACAAGTAAACTGTCTTAAAACCAAAGACGTCATAAAATAAGTTTTGTTTCGGCGCCGCAAAAATTTGAGAAGGAAAACCAGTAGTCTCCCACCCTCTTGAGAAGGATAAAAATGGTTCTAGCCGATGTACCTATTTTTGTTTTTTCAAAATGTAATAAATAGAAGCACAAATAATTTCGAAACCACATTTACAATAAAAATTTTATTCATTATTGACCTATCAAAAGCAGTAAAATATGTGGTAAAACATTCATTTTTGTTATTCCTTTTTAAACTAGCAAGTTATTCTAGGCAGTCCTGTTTAGAGGAGATATTTGCTTTTACGATTATTTAATTAAAATTGAATGATGTCTGTTAAAGGTGTTTTATTTATTCTTTAAATGATTCGTTTTGGTTCATTTTGCACATTTTCTTACTAAGATTCGTTAAAATCTAACACTATTGATTAGTTTACATCAATTCATTAGTGACTGAGTTCGTACAAACCCAAATTTTTAATGAAAAAATAAGTATGATGATTAGTTTTTGGTATAGCTACTGGATCTGCAAACCCTAAAGCAATGATGCCATATTTAGGAAACACTTTGTATAAAGATTCACGCATACCGCAAAATATTTAGTAATTTCTAGAAACTCTGTAGGTCTTTCTACTGAGATTGTGGGAGTTGTAAGTTTTTGTCATTATTCGAAAACTATTAAAGCAAATAAGATACATGAATTTATTTTCAAGATTTTCAAGATTCATGAAAACATGAGCTTTGGATCATTTCGCAACTGCATCGAGGTAAGCATGTACATTATAGTATACTTGAATATATTAATTCATGAATTAACAAAAATCAAAATACTAATTTGATTTTCTGATTATTTAATTAAAATTGAATGATGTCTGTTAAAGGAGGTGTTTTATTTATTACTAAAATGGTCAACTTTGGTTCATTTTGCACATTTTCCTATTTGGATTGGTTAAATTCTAATAAAAATTGTTAGTCTTCATCAATTTATTAGTGGCTGAGTTCATAATAACCCAAATTTTTAAAGAAACAAATTGGTATTCTAAATAATTAGAGCTATATTTGCTAAATTAGGGATAGTTAGATATCAATAAGAAGCCGTAAAGTCGAAATACTTCAGAAAATTCAAACTTCTGATAGCTTGTTTGATTATTTTGTGAGGTCACATCATTACTTTTTGTTTTGAAAATTGTCTTTTTTTAATTATTTCAGAAAACCTGAACTGGTGGCGAGCAATCACAATCGCGTCACGCATAGCATTAATTGATTGATTCTTAGCCTAGGAAAAGCTGTTTATACCGACTCCGACTTTATTTAATACTTACCGTGCTGACAGATCCAATGCAAATAGTCCAGATTGCATCCCACGTCATTCCACAGCCACCCACGACCCCCGTCAAGTACCACGCAGTTTTGCTCGCCGTTGTAGTTGTTGGGTTGGTCTTTGCCCCAAGATGGACGCTGCACCAAATCCCCTGAAAAAAAAATTAACTACCATAATAAGAGTTTTTTCTCAATATGAAAGTTGATGGACGCGATTTAATACTAATTGGAATAGCATTTGTCAAAGTATTTTGAAACCCTTGGAATCTGTAAACCCTCACGCAATGAATGCAATTGTGGAAAACATCTTTTAGACAGACTCAAGCATACTGCAAAACATTTGGTACATTCTAGAACCTCTGGTTTTTCTACTGAGATTGTAGAAGTTATATACTTTGAGGATTAATGTAAAACTCTTGAAGCAAATAACTCCCTAGATCTAAAGTATAAATGTATGAACAATTTTACAAATTACAATTTACATAATATTGTTTGGTTTACTTCTATAATGATACATAGATTTTTCTTCTGATAGGTCTGAGGTTAGCTTACTTTAGTTTAGTTGCCCGAAATTGCGATTTCGTCATAAACCCAATAATAAATAGTGAGAGACAACAATGATTATATTAGGAAGAAATCGCCAGCGTATCGAAGCAAGTGTACATGCCGATTACACGATCACAGGAGTTTTAAACATAACACCTAATGTAACTATATGAACCCTGCCCCACGAAGTAACTTTCCAAGCAGAGAAACTTAGATCAACCTACTAGAGAGGAACAGCATTGGTTCATAGACGAGTCCAAATCCAATGAAGGTGTTGTGAATCAACAGAGAACATCGGAATATAAAAATAAAGATCTTGGTGTATATACCAGCGCAGAATGCTCGTAAAAGAAAATCAATCTATTTACAGATAGCCAGAATGCATTGCAGCCATTAAAATTAATCGAAACATCGGTGCTGATATCCTAGAGCTTGAAGATAAAGGACAGATTAGGTGCAGGTGCAGGTCGATAAAATGGCCGTGCACTCTACAGCTGCCACACATCATAGGTCTTGCCTATACTGATAGCAGACGAAGTTTTGAATCCACCATAACAGAAATGCTGGGAAAAGAAATAATAAACGAGTCAAGTGTGATGAGATCGGTGTTTAAAAAAACTGAATTAAAGTGCAGTGTGAAAATTATTATTTATATTATTGTTCTATTATTACTTTGTCTATTGCTTGAGAACGACTTCAAAACTGTTTCATCGTTATTGAAAAGGGCATATTTTGCTCTAAGATCTCTATATATAAACATAAATATTTTAAATTTAAAATTTCTCAAAAAAATATATGAATCCTGTCACGTCGTCATTAATTTTGTCAATATACAGTCGAACTTCGATAAGTCGAACTGCGATTTGACACATGAAAATTTCGAGTTATCAATAAAAACTACAAATGCATGTACTCTTTTGTGAATGAACATTTATTCATTCATTTTTAATAATGGGTTATACGTTACATAAATGCCCTAATCTCTAAAACGAAAATTATGAAATAGTAGTACATATGTATGTATGTATTTACATAATATATGTACATACAAATGTATTGTATATGTACCCAGTATATATAAACATAGTATGTATGCACATATACATACATATGTATGTACATGTTAAAGTTTACTCTTTCTCTGGAAAAAAGTCAAAGTCATCATAGAGGGAATCGGGTGTATTCACTGGTTTTCAAATAGGAACGCAAGACAATCAACGAATTTTCAACCAATTTGAAGGTGGTTGCTGAGAATCATCTTCCAATTCCTCCTCCATCTTCATCAGTAGGAAACTCTGAAGTAATAATATCCTCATCCACATGTTTAAAATCGTTGATGGTGCCACCTTCTGCTATACCTCTAATGTTTGTCCAAGCTTTAAACTCGATTTCTATGTGGGTTTCCTCTTCACTCTTTTCTTTCAGGCGTTCACTTAGGAAACTCAAGGGAATCTCATCTTCTTCTTCCCATTCAGAATACGGACCAAAACCGGCTTTTTTAAAACAATTGGAAATTGTTTGAGGCTTAACGTCGATATTCCATGCGGTAGTTACGTCGTCAACACAATCCATTAGTGTAATGTTATTGTTTTTGTTTTCTTCGAAACGTTCCATTGCGGTGATGACTGAATGTTTATTTTTCAAAATTGTAGACACTGTACTTGCCGAAATCCCATACTTCACAGCTACATCTTTATTTTTTGAGCCACTTTCCGCTTCTTTTATAACCTTGAATTTTTGATTAACAGACAAAGCTTTTAAAGTACGTCAACAGGGACAGTATTTTTTACTTAATATTAACTAGTAAGTCATACAAGTAAACTTAGCAAGCACAGAAACTGAACTGCTTGCATAGATACGTTAAAAAGACAGGTTAAGATCGGTCGTAATTAGGGGGTTCCCCGAGAAAATTCGACTTATCTAAGTTGGCACCAAATGTTTCGTTCGAGTTATCAAGATTTTCGAGTAATCGAAGTTCGAGTAATCAAGACAAACTAACACGCATTTCCTACTTTTGACGCTATTGCCGACCAATTTAGTTCGACTTATCAAAAATTCAAGTTATCGAAGTTGCCTTAATGTTTGTACGAATGTATAATCGGTCACCAAAAGCTTGTTGTACGTTTATTTTCACTCTTAGAAAATATGACAGAGTGTCCCAAAAAAATAAACTGCATTGCTTGTTCGCAAATTACTTTTTACTGCATCACCCTACTACCTAAGCCAGGTGATAATGGGACATAAGAATATGCGGAACAAAATAATCTAAAACCTAAAATAAAAAGCATCAGATTGTCTGCCAAAAAAAAATCACATCCCAAATCGGTTTCACTTTCCATCACTTGACGAAGATAAATACCGCATAAAACGAGTCGAGGTAATTCTTTAACGGTCCCAAGAATAATTTATCGTTCTTCTAATTGGTCGGTTGCATAACGCCGATATTTACCGTGCGCCTAATTTGTATTTCAATGCGACTGTGAGAACTGTGCTGTCTTAATTGGCAGCAACGATCGGCATCTGATCTTCATCGTCATTGGTAGCATCGTTTATTAGGTATTCGCTGGTTGGTGTAAGTCGATTAGCAATTTTCGGGTCTATTGTTTGATTTTTGCGAAACAGCTGGCCAATTTTAATTATTGTTTATTGCCGGTGTTTGCTTCTTTGTGATCTAAGGGTAAAGTTTCTTTAAATACGTGACATTTTAAACACGACTGATTTATTTCGACAGTTGCAGCTTGAAAAGAATAAACGGCATTGCGTAACTCCGTGTATAGGGTGCGCTATCTAAAAGTCTCTGGGACTCAATTTTCATTAAAAAAAAGTACTGGTAAAAGCCGCTAATATCCAGTACTTTTTACGAATTAAATGGTGCGCATTTGTGCATTTTAGAAAAAAACGCTGTAACTGTTTGCGATGACAAATTTTGTTTTTCCACGAAAATATTTTTAAAGTAAATTTTCACGTAACAATTAACCGTACCGAGAGTTCAACTTATCTTGATAACATTTTAATTGGCTGTAACTTTTTTGTTTTTATAGATATCAAGGCAAAAACAAAAAAAGAAAGTGTAGGGTTAGTAGCCAAGTTTTTTTCCAGAGACGTATAAAACAATATACTATCAATTTTCTGATATATAAGCCTATATCATATTTTTTTAAATGGAACACCCCGTATATTATATATGTGTTTAATAGAATATCTTCTTCCGATTACAATGATGTAACGCACTTTATATTTTAGTTCAGTCGTTTTTTTGTATATAATTTCAAAGACTGCCATGACTGACAAATAAAAATATATTTATGCTTGACATATTAGTAAACAACGTTGATGGTTGATTATTGTCCAAGTCATTATTGTATAAATGGTTTTTCGAGAATTTAACATCCGTGAAAGGAGTTACATGCTTCAAGTATACTTTCTGAATAATAAAAGTGCAACCGCAGCTCGTCGTCAGTATATTAGACTTTATCCAGAGCGCCGAGTTCCTTCAACACAGATATATTCAAGGCTGGCAAAGAAATTTGCAGAAAACGGTAGCGTATTAAATGCTAAAAAAGTATGCCGGAATCATAATGTTTTAAAGGAAGAGAATAAGGCAAACATATTAGAATTCTATGAAGCACATCCAGTTTCCTCTATTACTAGAGTATATGAAGAGACAGGTTTTTCTCGGGGATCAATCCACTCAGTTTTGAAAGAATATGAATATAATGCATTTATATTTCTCGAAACTCAAAAACTAAGTGCAGAACAATGTCAAAGGAGGATGCAGTTTTGTTTGGATTTTCTAAATATACATAATGAGAATAATATTTTTTTAAAAAACATGTTATGGACTGATGAAAGTTCGTTCACTACAAGAAAGGGTTGTAATAGACAAAATATGCGATGTTGATCTTTATATAATCCTAGACAAATACACGAAATAGGAACCAATCAATTAATGCATGGTGTGGTGTCATAGATGGACATATTTGGGACCGATATTTATATATCAAAAGTTAACTGGAGATCATTATTTGCAACTCTTAGAGCACCAAAGATATAGAAGACACTCCTAAATATAACAGCGGCACCAAGGCGGTACCCCTCTCTTTTTTCTTTTCGGGACACAAAAAAAAATCACGTGCACAGAACTCATTGTAATAATGTCGTGGTACTACGGTAAATTATTTCAGAGGCAATCATCAACCAGTTATGAAACAATTCGAAAACGTTACTAAATGCAATTCAAACAATTAGAATGTAAGAGAAATGTGTTCAGGAAAATGGTTGTCACATACAACGATATTTGGAATGGTTAAATAATTTTTTTACTTTGGTGTGTCTTGTCGTTTTTGAGTGTTTTTGTTCTACTTTAATTCGTAAATACTTATTATTGTTGCAGTCAGTTACGGCACCCTTTGAAATTATATAAAAATTTCCTATTTTTGCCGATTTGTCAAAAACGCGTGGACTCAAAATATATAGTGACATCATTGCAATACGAATATGATATTCTGTTAAACACATATGTAATACAGAGGGTGTTCCATTTAAAAAAATGTGATGTAGGCTTATATGTCAGAAAACTGATAGTGTTTTGTTTTATACGTCACTTGGAAAAAAACTTGGCTACTGACCTTACATATTGTTTTTTTGTTTAATCCAGGAAACCAATGCGTAGTAGTGGTGGTCAAATTGACATTTTCACTGTGAAGATGGCAAAAGCGAATTCTGGCGATCTTTCCTAACTATATAGAGTCAGATAAAGGATAAAAAAAGTTACGTCTGACGTCGCAAAATGATATCAATAAATAGACGTTAGAAATCGACAAATAAGAATGCTGTTTTCTGATTTTAATATTGAATGATCCCTGCAAAAAGGACAAAAGGAATAAAAATGTCAGAAAGTTCATCGTTGCCTTGTTTTCTGACTTTTTTTTATATATTTAAATTTCCTGCAATAAACAATTCAGAATTTAAATATAAAAGCACACACCACCGAAAAGCTGACGTACATTAAAAACAAACTTCAAATTTAAATATATCGAGCTCCTTGTCATTTAAAGCCGGTTGTGACTTTTTTCTTTTCTATCTATTCCTTTCCTGGGATTTTCTATTAGAACAACTTGGTCAACTACAACCCCAACCAAAATTTTGGTTATTTTGGGATTAAACCCAAAACCCTCATTCATTTGACTATTTGGGTACTATTTCCCCGTGTTATTATGAAAATAAGTCATCTTGTAGTATATAATTTTCTAGAGAATTTTTTATTTGAAAACGTTTTCCACTTACATTTGCACTCTAGTGTACTTTGCATCCTTATCTGGCCACCCTATTACATAAAAGCGTGTTTTTCTTGAATGGCGCTTGAAGCAAACAATTAGCAACAAATAACAACGAGCTTCGGGCTCGAACGTGTAGGAGTATAGAAATTCTTATTGAATTAAACTAAACCGCTATTCCAGCTCGCGATTTTTTACAACTTTGAAATGTCAGAATCGGGGATTTGGAAAGTAGGTTGAAATTACCGGCCAATAAAAACATTGAGATTAAGTCGCACATGCGCCACCTGTGCGCTAGTCACTGATTAGATTCTTCCAGGTAATTATCTCTCGTTGCGGCGACCAACAGAGTTGCACTGAAAAATTACCAGTTTTATCAGAAAAATGGCGATGATTTCTCCAATCTTATTAATCGCCCAGATGCTGCTTTGGTGCGGTATACGAGGTGTATCGGAGCTATTTATATAGCATTGAATTTCGTGTTTCATTCATCGGTTTATGGGATACGAGACTTCATTTTGCAAACAGACAATGAAATTTGATCGTGCGGTCAAATCATGAGCTTTTAATGAGTTCAATGAAACCGGAACCTTTGGTAATTCGTATGGAGAAATTTTAGAAAATGCGTTTCAAGGTTTTCTATGCGGATGATGTAACAGATCCAGCAATCCATTGCAAAACAATCAATGCAAAGTATGTAAATATGGATGTTTGTGTAAAAATGGGTGTTTCGGTCACACCTTAAAATTATATAAATATAGTACTTTAACTGGTGGTCTCCTCAAGAGGAAATAGTTAAGAACAGAGGCTTATAGGCAGGTCATTTGAGGGTCTCCCCATAGGGTATGAGCAATAATTTGCTTTTCTGTAACATGTTCCTGTGACATTGCATACCTTTGGTATCGTTTTGACTTGCACTTGCTTTGGATTGGAAAATGTATGAATCCTAAGATGAATTTTATGGAAACAAAATGGTAGAAATTCAAATTAAGGTGTTAGAATAATTAAAAAAAGTAACTCCAAAGACAAACTCATGGATGCGTTACTGCAGGATTAGATCGCTGTAATTAGCCCAACAACGATAGTTGCCAAGTAACTACTTAACTGAATTAGTTGCCCTATGGTGCGGATTATCGTGAAACCTAGCCATCTCTAGTTAGTTCCTTAATTGGTAGTGAAATTAAAAGGATTTGGAATTTCTATTGTCTTCATTTACTTTAACGTACGCAGCTTTCGGTATGTTGTGCCACTGGTCGTTATTTTAGAATGCTGCAAACTTATCTACAACCATTTTTTTTTTGTTATTGATGTTATCGGATGGCCTCCTCAAGATCTACTGACGATATTAACCATCTATGGGAGTGCTGCAATTGTAAGTGAATATAGTGGAAAACAGAAAGGATAAAAGAATATGTCTGTGGACATCCATTTTACACAAAGGGGAGCGATGAAGAAATTAAGAATAGAATCGAAATGGTCAGGTTGGCTACAACGAAACCAATAAAGATTTGGTAAGGCCATAATATCACGATAGATACGGTTGATGCAGACGTTGAAGATTGCCGCAAGAGAATTCAAGAATTCGAAATGATCTACTAGAGAAGACTGCTGAGTATACTCAAGACTACTCACTGAATAAACAACACTCTCCTAACAATTATGGAATAGCAAGACTTTTTGGACATGGCAAGATTGCATTAGCATGAAGGTAAATAAGTTTTATTGGTAAAGAGTCGAGATTTCGATTTCTTAGCGTTAAGTTTAAGGGGTTATGGTGTAAGCACTGTCACATCGAATCTAACTAATAATTCATCGTAACTAGCAGATCCAAGTGAATCCTTTAATTTATAATACAATAACAAAAAACTGAGGAATTTGCGCGCACTCAAACTTTTTGTGGTATTCTATCCAGTAGCATGCATTTGATAAAAATAAAAAATAAATGGAACAAAACTATGTTATTAGACACGAATACAGTGGATGCTCCCTGAAAGCAATATATTTGAGGGGAAAACCCTGGCAGTTGCATGCATTGTGAATGATAAGTTAGCAAATGTTATAGTTAGAATGTTTAATAAAACAAAAACTGCAGTAATTATTAATACCACAAACGAACACAATTAAAATTAAATAGTCCGTTCACAAATAAAGCCAGACAGTTAAATTCTCATCTAAGTATTCATCAAATACGGCACCATCTCTCATTGTGGTGGGCGTGCGGACAACAACAGCCACTTACCATTAACCCATTTCCAAGTCCGCGAAGTCAGTCCGGGTTCTTTCTGGGCCCCGATCCATACCAGCTGCGTTTTCAACATCGGCTTTCTTCGTTCGAGTTCGGCGTACAGGTACGATGTCTGACCTGGACTCATGCCGTGAACGAGGTCGCCGTTGTGGCCTTGGCAATAGGCCCTCGCTTCCTGGAACGAGCCGCCCCTGGTCACGCCGAACTCGTAACACGTTTGAGCGAACGCCGCAAGTTGAGCCTCTTCAGGGGAATTTTTGGGAGCGCAGCGATCCACGGAGAATTCTGGAGGACAGGAGAACCGTTAAAAACAAAACGCAATATCTACAGGATTAGTAAAAAATACCGCCTAAATATCAACAGAACCGTTAAAGACGGGAGTATGAAATTCGAAATTCTGGGCATTCGGGATCGGCACTGTGGTTTTGTTTTATTTTCTTAACTTAGTAAGACGTCAATTTTCCAAAATGTTAACTCTATTAGTTTATGAAACATTTTAACACTGCATTTTCGGTAAAGAAAACCAGAGCGCTTAAATATTTTCAACACCATCAGAAATGCACTTGCGAAATTTGGTGTTGGTAGGTTTCCGACCATTCGATATTGAAAAATGATATCCGCATTGTTGCCAAATTTCTCAGTTTGTCGATGGCTCAATCGCTTCATATATTAAGTGGAACGCTCCATATCTTTAAACTCAAGTGATTAATTTTCCGTAAAAAAATTTGCTTAAGCTTCTGTAAGAGTGAGGTTCTCAGTTGATATCTGCAAATCGACTAGAAAGTAAGGTTTCAAGGTTTGTTTTGGTCCTATAAATGGAGCAAAATCTAATTTGATTTTGTTGGTTTTTTTTCGGCCAAAATCCTACTCGGAGCTACTGTTCGACCCAGAAAGTCAAGTTTAACATTGATATCTACAGGCTTGATGATGTTCTCGTTGCAATAAACGGCGGACAAGTGGGGGACAGCCCAAATGAGCCCAAAAATATTTTTTATCTTTTGAAGCTTGGTGATAGGCGTTAAATTTGTCATCAATGAATATTGTGCACCTTTAGCATTTTTGAAGATATTTATGTTTTCCTATACTTTTTACTAGCTTTACTTACTAGATTCTGTCTTATTTGTCTTCAAGACAAATTGTTAAATACTAATTTAGTATTTCAATTATACATTAATTTTGTTTCTGATCCAATATCCAATGATTTTTTCTTCAATACAGTATTTTTTAATAAGTGAATTCCCATTACTTCATTTTAGATTCAAAATCATACGATCCCTATATATTTCAATTTTGTTGGTTTGTGTTTCATCAATAATACCAAAAAATAAACCAAAAAATATTGCAAAATTTATAATAACCTAACTCCTTAAGAAAACCGACAACCTATTAAATAGTCTTATCTAGAAATTCCAAATATTTAAGTCTTTCTAAAATTCTTAAAAATGTAATGCTCAGAAAATAGCCGTAGACATTTTTCCAGGCGTACTATTTCAAAAAACTCTTATAATTGTGAATTATGAAATTATGAAATGATAATATCAAAATAGCAATTTTTGTTATAACATTTAATTACTACATTTATGTAATCATTACTTTTATTTTATTTATATATAATATATAAAAAAATGAAATATGTAATGTACTTGCACCCAACAAAATAAACTTTTTTTTCCCAATTATGCATTCATAACTGCAATCAGAGGCAATGCAAGAATTTACTATTTTAAGAAATGTTTGTCCATTAACACCTGCATGAAAATTTTCACTTAGTTCAAAGGACAAACGACACACTTCTAGAAAATTCTAAGCAAATTTGAAAAAAAAATTTCGCCAGAGCTTGAATTATCTTCGAAAATTCCCCGAAATTGCATAGCAAAGAAATTAATTGTCAATCTGGCAGCTACATTACGTACCAAAAAAAATCGGAAAAATTCAGATTGTGTCATATGTAGACATCGGATTTGCTTGAAAACTATATTAATAGTATATACTTCACGCAAACTACCATGAACAATAATTGCGATGTTTAGTATCACAAAGGAAAAATATTTTTTCCAGTTTGCTCCTTTGTTTTTTAAAAATCGGTAATAAATGAAGTGGCCACAGCAGTAACGATGAGTGTAAGAAATTGGATAATATGGCGTATTGTGTAATTAATTATTAGAGCGAATTTGAATTAATATTAATATTTAACGTTATGTCTCAATGTTGAATTCTGAGGAAATAGCTGCGATACAAGTACAACGCATACCACTACATACACTTTTTGATTGCAAAACTCATTAATTTGGTAATAAAAAAAACTATCTTGTCTTTACCCAACAACTCGTTTGTTTGTGCAAAAGCTATATCAAGTCGGTACAAAAGAACCCAGATATCTACGCAAATACGCGTTATTCCATTTTAAGCAATAATAGATGAACTTTTCGAATTTTATTAAATTTTTCGGTTTATCTTCAGGAAAAGTTTCCATTTTATTTTTTTTTTTTTTGGTTATATCAAACAGAATTATCAAGCAGTATATGTCAAAAAGCCACTTCCATACGCTAGTTCATAAAGAGAAATGCATCGACAGTATTTTTCAAATATCCTGAACGCACTTCAAACTTTTTTTGAAATTTTATCCAAATATTTTTATGATTTACACGAACGATTTTTTTTTCAAGATAAGTAATATAGCATTTAACACAAAACGCAAAAAAAAAGGAATTGTTATAATTTCTATTCGTTTACTACCACGTAGGTTTTAAAAATATGTTAAAAATGTGTAACTATACACATTATTTTCTTCGCTTAACCTTGACTATTCTAAGGTGTAGCAATCTTGTTACAAATGAAAACTAGTCAGTGAATATATGTATTTTTTCTCGTATCTCTACTCCCACTAAAATGATCTTACCAATTACACTTTTCGTGGACACTAATAAATTATATTCGCGCTTGGGAAAACCTTGGCCTAGACTACGGAAACGAGTGGTTTTAATTTTTCTCTATTGAATAGCGAATAAAACTCTTCCTTAAGTTCGTAATTAAAACAAATCGTTTGGAATAATTATCAAAAACCTTCGTAACCGCGTGATAAATAGTTCTGAAATTTATTGTTAAATGCGGCATTTTCATAGGATCGTTAAACGCGCTAACAGTTGTTAAGTTGTTATTAAATCGGAAATTATAAAAACCACAATGCGTTGACGCGCCAGCTGGCTCCTTTCCTGGGTACAATATAATTATAAACTTGGCCGCAAGAAATGCGTCGGCATTATCCAAATTCGGGGTTAAGCCGATTTTTGCTAAGCGACTTCGAGGAATTTAAGTTTATTTATTTACCAGCTAGGGATCCAATGCAGCAATCAAAGATTATGAAAATTTCACTAACTTCTATTTTGGTGGTATCATGCCTATTTATAACACATCTCTCTAAATATTTGAAAGGGTATTTCGAATTCTTAGTCATTTATGAGCAGATTTGACCTTTTCAATTGTTGTCGTCTTAAGCACAGCAGTAGCATGGAACGTTTGCTTAAAAAACAAAATATTTAAACGTAATCGGTAAATAAAATAATAAACTTTCAATAGAAAATAAGTATAAAAAATATAAACTTAGATAATTATGGCAACACCGTAACAGTCACAAAATTTTCTATAAAAAGCATACATACAGACAAACAAATATTCGTTTTTTTTTGTTTTCAGCATTTCTCTATATTTTAAGTTTCTATGTTTTTTTTTCGCGATATACTTGCTTGTCTTCAGATGAAACTGCCGATTTTCTATTATTTTTTTGCCAAATTTATAAAATAAAATAAAAAACAATTTGTAGTTTTTATCCAATTATATTAATACTAAAACCCTTATTATAAAATTATAAATTCAAGAAAACGTTAACAAAAAATGAAATTTGATTCATTGTCAATTATTCCCGCCCCCTTTTTTTTGATAATTGGTATGGAACAACTAAAGTTTGTTTTCAGCCAGAATTTCAACAGTTTTGTCCGAGCATTAATCTAATAATTTTTGCGCTCAGAACACCGACACACTTTTCTTATCGCAATTATTGGTTAAGCGTTCTTTTGTATACAATGAGCATTTGATATACGTCTGCTTGTCTAAGTGCACCAACCTGTTGGGCATAGTATACTTTTTTTATGACCATTAGCTTTTGAGTACATTTCAGCAAAATAGCACTAATTTTTTGCATTTTATATAGTATTAGCTAGAAAAAATAAAACTAAGTTTAACTGTATCGAGAACTGCTACTCCGATATGAGCAAATTCATCAGGAGAAGGTGCGATTTTTAAAGGCCCATTATAATAAGGTTAGGTTTGAAAAATGAATATTATTTATGACAACCTGGGAATTTATCAAAAATACCATTATTATTATAACAAATAGAATTTTATATATTTAAAATATACCGTTAAATATTATAAGTTTAAAATTTACTGTGCGCTGTATGCTCAAAAATAATGCTACTTGCTACTTGTTTCGTCACCATTAAAATATTGTGACAGTTTGTACGGACCATGCATTGATAAGTTTGATAACAGACTTATACAGAAGATCCAAGAGCATACATATCATAAACTTAAGGGAATAATGGGAAGATTCCGTTGCCTCAAGTGAAGCAAGTTATACAGGGTATTTAGCAGAGGGTTAGGCAAAGGTGGGTGCATAAATAGATAAATTCTTAAGATATTTTGTTAACCAATAGGCTCCAAACATCCTCGACATTTTCACTATTGAAACTCTTATTTTTTATTCAAAGTACGGTGTTTCAACGATTTCATTTTCTTTTTTTTCAATTTTTCTCTCACAATTTTGAGAAAAATTTTAGAATGTTATTCTGTTCTAATTATAATTATCTCAAATTAAAAACACAATATTTGGAGTGATTTAACGGTTTTCAGCATCTACAATGTGGTATGGTCTGTTCATAGATATAAGAAAGTGACCAATTGCTTTTGAATGGGTTTATCCAAGGGTGGTGATTATTACCTAAAGTTTCGGAATTTAAACTCAGGTAAAATTGTGGTCCGTAATAGAAAATAATTTTATACCTACCTGTGTTTAATATTCTTTGGTTTGGTTAGTTTAAGTTTATTAGTAATCATTCTTATTTCGTGTGTAATACAGCGTGTGTTGAATCGTGTGCGAATTATGCAAAATATGTGCAAGTCTAGTGTATCTCAGGAGATGCTCCCGCCCAAATGTGGAAATCAAAATTCAATCAATTCTATCGAGACTAAGGAAGTTATAAACAATGTTTATTTGACTCTCATTGAAC